TGAAATGTTAAGCAGGTATCTATGAATTAATTTATACATCCGCAAGAACATTATGTTGCATTTTGCTTATAAAATCTTTGGCATTTAACTTTTCTGAATCACATTTAATTTATCCACACAAGCACTTCTAAATTACATATTTGAAGTAAGTTTTGATGTTTTATGCTTATTATAATGCAGTTATTAGTAGTACCTCCAAGGAACGCAATGCCAAAAAAAAAAAAAAATCAAGTCACAAAAACACACAGGGGAAGCTTAAGTACACATTGTTAAGGAAAGAAGTCAGTCCAATATATCACATTTTGGAAAGTATCAAAACAATAATAAGATCAGAAGTGGCCACTGTTTCAGGGAGAAGAAATGATAAATAGCTGAAGAACAGAAGATTTTTAGGTCACTGAATCTATTCTGTATGATATAATTATGGTAGTTATATATGGCATTATGCAATGTACAAACTCATATATGTATACACACACACAAAAGCAAAGAATGGAATCTTATGTAAACTATGAACTTTAGTTAATATTTAGTTAATGTATCAATATTGGTTGATACATTATTTAGTTAATGTATCAATATTGGTAAAATGGACCACACTAATGCAAGATTTTAATAGTAGGGGAAAATGGGCCTAAGGAGCACATATGGGAACTTTGTATTTTCTGCTCAATATTTCTTAAACCTAAAACTGTTAGAACAGAGTCAGTCAACTTAAAAAAAAAAAAAAAAAAAACCAGTGTAATTGTTTTACATGTAAAATTGGGGCAATGAACACAATGCTGGTAATATTAGTGAACTAATAATTTCCTTTTAATCTAGTGAAACAGTATTTTTGAACTAATATATTATTAGCTTGTATGATTCAAGAGTTTAAGTTAAAATGCATGTGTTTTCTTTAAAGTAGTCAGTAAAGTGTTACCCTGGAAGGATATGAGGGAGCCTAGGCTGCCGTTAGGGATCAGTCTGGAATAGTGGTATCAAACCCAACCAAATCAAGGCTTGTGAAAAAATCTCTGCTGAAGGTCTTTCCTGAAAGCATTTTTTAAAGATTTATTTATTTATGCATACAAGAACTGGGGTACAGGTTAGAGGTGTGAGGGTGAGAGATTCACCGGAGACAGAGTGGGGAGCAGAACAGGCAGACTGACTGAAATACACTGCTGAGGGGAGCAACGGATGAGCCAGGAGGGGTCTGCTGCACCATGTGGGTAGTTCCCTGGCCAGGGATTGAACTCATGCTGCAGTGGCTGCAGATAGCTTCATAGGTTGTGTCTTAACCACTTGCAACACCAGGGAGGCCCTCCTGAAAAAATTTTAAACATATACAATCATTATCTCTCCAATGCTCTATAGCTATTAAAGTCATGACCATTTTCTTCAGTATGCTCTTAGCAATATTTTTCTGCAGAATAGGAATCCAGGTGGTCCTTTAATTCTTAGACTTCATCAATGAAGCTATATTGTTGCCCTGTTGAGCACTCTGTTTTAAGTGTCTCTTTTACTTAAGAGTGCTTTTTCTCATTTATATTAGCAATAAATCAAGTACTAAATCTTCTGGCACTAAATCTTTTCAAAGTAGAATTTGTGAATTTTAAACACCCAACAACTATTTATTTTGAATTAGGTGTTGAAAAGTTGAACTGGAAAAGTTAACGGTGTATTAGTCAATTATAAAATGGATCAATTGCACTCTTATGAATTAGCAGCAAGAGAAAATATTTGTGAAAAGAAAAAAAAAAAACAGACAAGAAAAAATCTTATGATGATTCTTATTTGGTTAGAATTCTTTCTTCTGAAAATAATCAATATATATTTATTACAATCAACAGAAAGAAGAGAGGGAATAACACATCAGACTCAGAATGGTAAATCTGGAAAATGCCTTACAAATAGCTTACTCTTACAATTAACTCTTAGTCCATACCTAAGTATCACCTGAGTATCACTCAGTTAGGTGATCCTTAAAAGAATAAATTTCCATTGTATGCTCAAATACAGAAGTTCATAAAATTTCACTTTCCTCTTTCCAATTAAAAATCACACAGAACTTGAATTATTGCACAGTAGTTACCAATTATACATAAAATGTATAGTATCCAACTCCTTATTTCCACCTCTGTCCCCATTAACTTGGGTCCGGTTTATTTTTTTTAAGTTTATACTTCTATCCAATCTGTAATCTGATTTTATGAATCCTGATTTACAATAACTTCTTCATTTTGTATGTGAGTTATATGTGACTCCAAAAGGAATATATAATTTGCCCCAATCATCTAACTGTACTTTCCAGGCCATAAAACAAAAATAGAATGAGTCCTGTCTCACAATAATTAGAAAATAATTGAAATTTTGTAATCTATTGCTCATTATCAGAGAATTTCATTTAATTCTAGCCAGGAGAAAATTGCATTTTTGTAGTATGTTCTGACTCTAGAAAAAAGAAGCAAGTTGCAGGAATTAAGACAAAGGTTAATGAAGAGATATTTTGTTTATAAGTAAATCCATTTTAAACATTTACTTACAAACAGAATTCTAAAATTTTGTGTGGTATGCAGAGAATTTAAATTCCTTCTTACATTATGCCACTTACTTTTCCTAATATTAGTCATTTCCATCCTGATTCTAATAAATGCACACAACAATATTTTTAAAGTTGTTGGTAGATTTCAGTTACTCAGAAGAATGGACAGATAGCTTCAGCTCTTGCAGATTGTTGGTCAGACATCACCTTCAGTGTCTCACCCTGTGGGCAATTCCATCAAATTCACAAATTCACTGACTTCATCAAATTCAGCAAAGGGTAATTTTGTTATTAGCAAGAATGAGGTTACAAACTGTTATAATCTTAATTATGTGATAACTGAGGTGACCAGGCATCATTTTTGATGTAATATTACTTAGAAGTCACAGTCTGGCTTTCATAAGAGAGAATACGCAAGGTAAGGGATGCCAAGGGGGGATTTTTGAGGAATGTTTTAGAGACTATTGTATTTTTTTAAATTATTTATTTATGCATATAAGAACTAGGGTACAGGCCAGAGGTACAGGGGGTGAGAGGATTCACCAGAGTCAGAGTGGGGAACAGAACAGGCAGACTGACTTACATACACTGCTGAGGGGAGCCGTGGGCGAGACAGGAGAGGTCTGCTGTGCCATGTGGGTAGCTTACTGGCTGGCTAGGAATCGAACTTGTGCTGCAGAGGCTGTGGATAGCTTCAGAGTTCTGTGCTTAACTCATTGCACCACCAGGGACGCCCCCAGAGACTATTATATTTAAATAGCTCTTCAATTTTATCCTTTTGCAGGTTTTTTATTTCATAATTACCATGATCAACCATTAAGTGACAAACCACCGATTTTCTGAATGGCTCTTTATCATTTAAATATTGTGCAAAAGTTTATCTATTCATAGTCAAATCAATAAATCAAAATCAATCTTGCTGTTACATTCATAAGTGCCTTTCTTTAGGTAGCAGCGGTAGATTACTATCATTTTATGTTCAAGGTTACCAAAGTCACCCTATTTCACTGAACTGGCACTGTTACAATATCTAGATAAATTGCTTAAAGGATATAGTTGTGTTGAAACAGATATCATACATTAGAAGTGTCTGTAGGCATATGAATACTTATCTTTTTTTTTTTTTAATTAGAAGTCTTTTGAGTGGAAGTGATAGAAATCATAGATAAAAGAAAAGAGAATATTGTTTCATTAACTGAAATAATGCATTTGTGTTGTTATCACCATGAACCTTCTACTAGGGTACAAACATTAAAATGTTAGTATTAAAAAAAAAAAACCCTGTACTTTTCTAATAGTTAAAGTAAAATCCCTGGCTTTGCATGATACATTTACAACATGTTAACACTGGGCAAATGAGAATAAAACTCCCTGACTGAACAGAGACTGGTACTGTATCTATCCATGAATCCTAAGGGTTGGATCAGCCCTATCCAGACCACTTCAACTGAGAATGAAGGAGCTGTGGTTATTTAAAATAATACTTAGATATTGTTAAACAAAAAAAAATGATGAAAATTAAGGGTTACATATAATTAATATTTCAGACTTTATTTGTAGGTAAGGATTTGTTGTAAAAGGCTTCAAAGAGATACAATTATAATTTTGCAATATAGTCTAGATGAGAAGATGCTGATAGAAGAGGGGAATATTTGCAAAGTAAATATTGAAGACAAAGAATATGTGAAATAAATGGTAGTAGGATTTATCAGTTTGAGAAAGTAGACTAAAGTTTTTAGAAATCATGACTAGACTACAAAAAACTTTGAGATATTGTTAAAACCTTGCATTTAATAATTTATGTAGCTGTAAATACCTATGAATTATAAGTGAGATTGTTTACATTAAATTGTGAATATAACATGATAGCCTAGTAATATGACCAATATTATATTAAAATTGAGATTCTGAGTATAATATAATGTGCTCTTGAAAATATATTTTTGAAATTAATATAGTACTATGTATACATTCATAATTTAGCTAATAAAAGTTAATTCAAAAGCTATAAGAATTTGGAATGCCGTTCATTCAAACACTTTTAGTACAAATAGAGCTTTACAGTAGAGCAAAAGTAAAGACTAGAAAGAAATATTTGGAAGCAATTTATTAAAAATGATATGACCAATGACCTAAGAGCCACATTTTACTTTCATGAACTGATATAGCAAATTGTACCATGTGTTGTTTTTAGTCCAGACAGTACTTTAGAGACAAGTGGGAACAATTTTGTAAACAATAAATGAGTAGTAGGTTTTATCTTAAAGTTAAAACAATGCAGAAATGACAAGCCATCTTAACTAAAAACACATGATTCTACATAGTTCATTAGAGCCATAGTTTGAATGACACTTCTTGAGAAATTCAGAAAATAGTATTATTCAAATAAACACAATTAATTACTCCACCAAAACCACATCAATTTTAATGGCAAAGTGGGGAATAAAAAAATAAATTATCTTCTCTAAACCTGCAGACCGCCTCCAGTAAGTGAACTGGCAGCCAGAGGGACTGTGGTTGGTGTAATAGCTGCTGCAGCCATCAATCAGAGTATTGTGTACTCCATTGTTGCAGGAAATGAAGAGGGTGAGTACATGGTTAGTCTGTTTGCACCATGAACCAATAAACTTGGACTTAGCATTAGTTTTAGATTGAAGTGTTCTTTACTTTTTTGATAAAAATGTATCCAATTTAAGTATAATTAGCAAGTGTAAGCTCAATCAGATTTTAAAAGTTGTATTAGCAAAAGTGTTTCTATTATTCTCACTAGGATAATCTAAATATTCAGTTCTGGACTACTTTCGCTCTCCCTTATTTAGAGGTATTTTGATAACAAATCTTCAAAGTAAATGTATCATACTTTCAACTTTGTATCATAAATAGTACCTGTGGTAGACTCTTTTCACAATTCTATATTCACATGTCATATTTTAGGTAATTCCGAAGAAATTTTAGGATGCTAATAATTGTGATTGTCCAAAAAGTCAACTTTGAAGAAAATTCATGCACATTCCTCAGACAGTTAAATTAGACATAGAATCACCATTGTAAATGAATATATAGAATTTTTTCTGCCAATCACTTTTAACTGAGAATGGACAGTGTAGAAATCCGCTGTTTACTCAGCTCTGATTGTTTCACCTTTTATGCACAGATCAGTTGTTTTCTGTCTTTCCCTGTTATAACCTGGAAAACCTGGCATATTATAGATCATCACAAAATAATTAATGCATATTTAAAGTGTTAATATTCATATTTAATGGCTCAACTGTAATGTTATAGAGTTTGCAAGTTTAATTATAAGTGCTTTTGAAAAAAGGCATTTCAATGACCAACCATTACTAGAAATTGCAGCCCTTGAGGCAAGTGCTAAGCATCATACTTTTCTTATTGTCTGCCTTCTTTGTTTCTACTCTGCTCTATGCCCCCTTCTCTAAATATTACTAAATTTCTTTTACCTTTGGACTTGGTAATACCTGACCGAAGTTATGATTTGTCAATCTGTTCTATTTTTGATTATGTTCTCTTCCTTGACCATAGCAGATAGCAATGTGATTCTGCTTATTATTCATTCCCCTTTAAGCTGATTATTGTTATATTCAACTCACTTATTAGTTCACTTCAATAAATATTTATTGAGTATCTACATTATACTAAGGACTTCCAGACCCTAGGGATTATAGCGGTGAACAAAACCGATATCCTTACCCTCGTAAAATTTAACAGACCAATAAGAGGAGATAGACAGAAAAAGTACTAACCTAATAAAAATAACTCCTTTAGGTAGTGAGAAATGGTATGGAGAAAAGTAAAGTGAGGAAAAGATACAAAATGCTAAGAGTTAGGATATTAAGATGTTTACCAGTGTGCCCTGTTCTTCAATTTAAAAAAAAATGCAAACTTATAAAAAATAGATCTCAGTGCAAGATATTTTAGTATATTTAGAATATTCGTATTTTCTAAATACCAAAATGTTAAATTATTTTCTTTTTCCCTAACATGTTCTTAGCAGAGCACTACAACCGCAGGATAATAAAATTAATTAAATCATGAAATATCTAATAATCCACTAAGATCTTTAAGCATTTGGTTAAGCAGAATTAAATGGATATATTTACAGCAGAATTTCTGAAAGCCTTTAGTATGTTAGAGGACCATCCAAATCTATGGTGATCAATATAGTATGCATTGCTTCCTTATTGAAGTGACTTAATATAAACATTGAGTTCCATGGGAATTTCCAAGAAACTAGAATTTCAAGACATGCGCTTAAGGAAACACTGATGTTGATCATTTCAAGAGGTAAACATAGTTAACGAAAGTCAACATTTTGTCACTTTTATATATCATTCATTAAAAGTAAATGATTTTAGAATGAGAGTGTCTTTCAAATAGAATTCATTTTCCTCATATGATGAAAAAATGATTGAGGAACTATATTTTCATTCTAGATACATTTGGAATTAATAACATCACAGGTGTTATCTATGTGAATGCCCCTCTGGATTATGAGACAAGGTCAAGCTATGTACTTCGAGTTCAAGCTGATTCCTTAGAAGTGGTCCTTGCCAATCTCCGAGTTCCTTCAAAAAGTAAGTTATATTATTTATGGGTTTTACAAGAATTTTATGGTTCATATTGCTAATTTTCTAATGAAATACATCTGTCAAAAATAAACTTCTTAGTGGAGAACATAGGAACATAATACATGGAGACAATTGTTCACTTTGATATGTAACAATGCAGGAAATGATTTTATACTACCACATTATCAAGACAATAACACAGTATTTCCAAAATTTATGTTAAAATATTGTGAGAATATCATCATTATCTGTGTGCTAGATAATAAACCTTATACTTTTTTTTACTTGAAATAGCATTGCTTTATAACATTATATAGTTTTAATGTAGACAACCTTATAAATCACATCTGTATTTACTCTATCATGTTTATTATCAGAAATGCAATTCCCTTCTATCAGCATACAACGAACCCTTTCATCATATTTACATCCCTTCTTCCCTTTCAAATAACCACTGTTTTTTTGTTATAGATTAAGAGTTTGTTTTTTTTAATTATTCTTATTCTTAATCTTACTGTGAGGCTTTAGTTAAGCCTCTGGAATGTGTATTGTTAATGGGTGCATGACCAGTAGACATTCAGTAAATTTTGTGTGGCTTTTGGTATATATGTATTTTCATAGAGCAGAATAAAACACATCTTAAAATTAGTGACTATCATAATTTATAGGTCTCATATTTCATTCACAGCAGTTTTTAGGAGTGATTTATACCCTCTCTCTTATTATCCCCATTACAATGACATAATTAGAAAAGGTTAAATGATATTTTTAAGTGATATCATCAGTAAATTAAAAGTAGGAAATTCAAACTTATATCCCTGACTCCAAAATTTTCTTCAGCATTTCAGTAGTTTACCCACATAGATTAGAGAAGCAGGAAAAAGCCCATTTGTGAAGGATGCTAGTGCAAATTCTATCTTTTTTTGGCCAGTAATGGGATAAATGCTATTCATTATCATCCATGAAGGAAATACTCCTTTGCACTTAAGGCAATCCATCTTCTTATAATCACATTCAATTTTCTAGAATCTTACAGATTCAAGAAGACTCATTTAAATTAACTATTCATAGAACAGAGATACTGATGGAGTATGAACTGGGAAACTGAACCTGAAACATCTTTTACTCTGGAATCATTCCTGGGCATACTTTCCCAGCACTCCATCAACCAGATCATTAGCGTGCTAATGTACATGTGTATCATTGTATGTATTTATAGATGTGAGACTAAATAGCAAATTCATGAATTATGCTCATAGAAATTCATTAAGCTGAAAACTAAATGTTAATATGTTTAATGTCTCATTCTTTCAACATTTCATCTCTCTCCTTTGCTTCTAGACCATGACAATCAAACCTGTAATTTCTGTTTAATTTATTAATGACTGTTAGTGGTTTATAAGCAATCAGTTAATCCATTAGCTATGCAAATAAGACTGTATATAAACTGAAGTGTATTAGTTGTGAAAAGTTTCATCCCTTCTTCATAGTTAGCTGTGCTATGGTCTTTAGCACTAGCACATATCTTATAAATTGAGTTCACAAACAGAAAACATTTTAATTTATGAAGGAAGTATTTTATTATGATTTCTTTACCAGGAATTTACCAGTGAATTCATTTTCAAAGTAAGTTTTAAAACAATGCTATATTTGGATTTAAATGTAAATGCAAATTAACAATTAAAATAGAAAAAATTTAGAACTTATTTCTGAAATTCCACACAGGACATAATTAAAAATTCTAAGTCTTTTTGTATAGACCATTTCAAAAATAAAATTACAGAGACTTCCATATATCAGTTATGCAGTCTCAGTATTATCAAGTCCTGGGACATCTTTAATCTCCATTTCCCATTACTCCTTTATGCCATTTCTTGGAAGCTTGATAGAGATATAATAATATTTCATCTGTAAATATTAAAATATATATCCTTTAAAGAAAGTGACTCTTAAAACCATCATTATCCCTTCCCAAAATTAATAGAAATCAGGCCGCCCTGGTGGTGCAGCGGGTTGAGCGCAGTGCTGTGAAGCTGTCTGCAGCCTCAGCAGCTCTGGTTCAATTCCTGGCCAGCCAGGGAGATTCCCACATGGCACAGCAAACCTCTCCTGTCTTGCCTGCTGCTCCTCACAGCAGTTTACTTCGGTCCTTCTGTCTGTTCTGCTCCCTGCTCTGTCTCTGGTAAATTCTCTCACCTTCCCGCGCCTCTGGCCTGTACCCCAGTGCTTGTATAAATAAATAAAAAATCTTTATAGTCAATATTCTTATTAAAAATTATTTACATCAGAATCCAAATAAGGCCCAAGAGGCTTCAATTGATTGAAAAGCCATTTAATTCTCTTTTAATCTACAGGCTTTACCATTGTTATTCTTTTAATCCCTCTTGATATTTATTTGTTCAGCAAACCAGATTTCTGACACCTGCATTTCAATAACAGAATATTTCATATTTTTCCTGTTTGTTTCATATTTTTCCATTACCTTGATTTTCTATGAATTGGTAGTTATATCTAGAATCTTGATTAGATTCTTACTTTTTTAAAGAAAGAAATTATAGGTGATATTCACTACTCCTTTCAGGAGAGTGAACCTTTGACTCACTCCTTTTGTGATAGTAACAGCCACTGATAATCATTTTCTGCCTATTAATTCCTTCCTTTCATTTCTTTTATGTTTATTAGCCAAAATATTTGTATAAAGAGAAATTTCTCAATCAAATAATTGGTTACTCTGAGACATGGCTCCTATAGGAAAGGCAAGGAAAAAATATTTGTTACTTTACTTTTGTTCACTGGTTTTCCAAATAATGAGTCCACATGCGACTCCTGAAATAATAAATACTTTTATGTACCATCTGTTCTCTGTTGAAACTGCTCAACTCAGTGTAGTTTAATAGGGAAAGACAATATGTAACCTAAAGGGTAGGCTGTGCTCCAATATGTTAAAAAAAAAAATAAATGTGAATGCTTTCCAACAAAATCCTACTTACTATAACAGGCAGTGGGCCGGACGTGCTCAAGATGCTATAGTATTGGCTGACCCTTGTTCTGACACTTACTTTTGCTTTTCGTAATGTGCTTAGCCGCCTCTTTACTTTTTTTTTCTTTTGCTATTGTTTGTACACCTGTTCCCACATCAAATCTTATTTTATTAATTCCAATACTTGTAAATTGTCCTCTAAGTGACACCTGAGCAGACTCACAGGAACATTTCCTGTTTTCTTGTACAGTAATGATTGAACATGTTAACTACATAGAAAAGCTTTTCTTTCATATACGTGTGTGTGCTTTTTATATCTATATGCCTTTCTTTGACTTAAATATTCCACTTCTTTTTCTCCTTCCAGTGAAACATTACTGTCAAAAAGTGTAATGACAAAAACCTTTTATTCTTTTCCAATGGATGTTGGTTTTATTTCTGAACTTCCGAACAATTTACTCTTTCTAGGGAATCCAACTTTTTACTAGAGCTCCTGTTGTCTATCTGGTTCATTTCTGCATATATGTAAGATAAACATTTCAGAAATTTTCTTGAATTTGAGATTTTTTGTGTTTTATTAATTTGTTTTTTGTTTACTATTTTATATGTGAATGTCTTCTTATCCTATGCTTTATATCACTTTATTTCTAAGCTCTTTAATGTTTTTTTTTTCATTTCACCTACATTTTATTTAAACATTTGATTTATGTGTTCTCCTAAATCGGTATGTCTTTATATCATATTTTGTCATTTAATTAATGTCTTTTTTTCAAAGTTTATTTTTACTCTGTTTGAGAATGCTAAGCTACAGTTTTCATCTTTTTAAAAAAATGCCTTCATTTTTTAGAACCATTATTTAGCTCCCTGTTCTCTTTTATTCTGTGACTTTGAATATGGTCTTCTTTTTTAAGATTTTTTTTTTTTAAAGAGGCACATATTTTATTCATTTATTTATTTGTTTGTTTGTTTTTGTTTATACATGCACTGGGTACAGTCAGAAGCACTGGAGGGTGAGAGAATTCACCAGAGCCAGAGCGGGGAGCAGAGCAGGCAGAAGGGCCGAAGTACACTGCTGAGGGGAGCAGCGGGCAGCAGGAGAGGTCTGCGCACCATGTGGGACCCTCCTCTGGTGGCCGGGGAGCAGCCGGGGATCGAACCGGCGCTGCAGAGGCTGCGGACAGCTTCGCAACCCAGCGCTCAACCGCTGTGCCACCAGAGAGGCCATGGTCTTCTTTTTTATTTCATGTTTTAGAGAAATTAGTTTTCCCATATTCTTAAAAAAAAATTAAGTTCAGCTAGCATAACAGTTCTATTTCACAGTTCTAGACTACATGTTTCAATTATTTCATAAAGTGACAAAATTATTCTTCTAATTTTAGACATCTGTTTTTATTTCTGCATTCTCACTTTAATTGGGTGATTTTTTTCTTTCCTCCTTTGGTACCAGTTGTGCTCCATTTGTAATTGTCTCAATAGCATCTCTTTAGTGTGGAATTTTGTCTTGCTACTGCCTTCATACCAGCTTAACAAATTTTCCACTTAGTTATGTTGACATCTTTGAGGCTCACTGGCTCTCAGGTACAACAGAAACCCTTAGCTTTTCCTGAATTTCCATTACCAACAACTGTTACTGTGTTTGCTAATAATACAGAGATCCAGTTTCTGCCCATGTTTTCCCTAACTCCTCATATTCTGTGTTTTGGATGTTGTCTTTGTTGTTGTTTTTTGCCATATTTACATGGAGATATTATCGTTTTTTTAGTTTGATGCTAGGATATACTTCATAAATAGATTTTATTGTGAGGAAGAGAACAGTGTTAGCATGTTACCAGAATATCAAAGGACCCCCAAACTTGCATGCTGTAAGGGGGTCCAGCTATCCATATACACAAAGTCAAACAGACTCATAGTGTGAGAGAACTTTAATAAAATTCGTGTGCAAAGAGAGGGAAGAGAATAGAGGGTATTTTCCCCCAATAAATCATGCCAAATTACCACACCCTTGATGGGAAAATCCCTAGTCAAG